CCTTTTGACCTACCCCAAACATCTCTGGATTTGATTAGAGACCTACGCCAGCAGGAAGCAAGACTGTATGTTTAGATTCTTCTGTCCTTTTAATATTAAGAAAATAATAATAATAATAATAATAATACTACACAGGTTTATCTTTAGCTATTTGGAAATGTGAGCTTCCAAAGAGTATCCTATTCTACAAGTCATTCTGTTTCAGTTATTCAGCCCTACAACAAGTAGTAAAGGACAACCTACCTAAAATGCAAATAATCCATCTTTAAAGAATATGTTGCAGGACTATGCATTGCCAGAAATTAATAGCAAGAGAGAAATATTTTAAGAAAGATATTGCAGGAACTTCTAGCAAAGATGGCTAGGAGAGTGTTTAATGCAAAAGCTGGAAAGTGAAAATTTACCTTTGTCGTCTCGTAAGCAGGTCCAGTACCATTCAATATACTCCAGGGCTGAATATGACCCAATATCAGCATTGCAAAAGACTGTTCCCCTGCTGTGCAGCGCAAGGAATATTTTTTTAAATGGACAAGTTAAAACACAGTTTCAGTATTATTCTCATCATCATGCTAAAAGGCAAGCTGGTAAATTTTCATTACAATTATGCAAGGCTGACCTATACCAATATTCAAGCATTTAAAGATAAATGTCTCATTTGATTTAGTTACAGAATTTAGAAATGGCACATAATGGGCCTCTGGTCTTTCCTATTTCTATGTGGCCAAATTCTACAATCCTTACTTGGCCAAATTTCTTTTATGATACACACTGCACTGACTTTATATTCAATACGCTTAAGACAATTGGTTTCAAATATTTAGGCCCAAAATTTTAGGCCCTTTAACTCCAGTTAATGTGAGGCTGTCAACATTTTTTCATATCCCAGAAGCAATTCTGTCTGCATCAGAGTTTTAATCTGAAACCTCTGCTAGTCTGAGTTACCTAGGGACCTAGTGCCAGATTATGACATGATGAGGCCCAAACTATGTCACTCTTAAGAGGCCCCATACAATAAAAATAATCCAATGTATGTATATTTTTGTCATATTAGAATGAAAACGTCCATATTTAGAGAGTCATTTCCCATATCTCCTTTATTTATCAACTGATTATTATATTAAAACTTAATACTGAGTCAGGTTTTTCTTATTTAGAGGCCCCTTATATTGTGAAGCCCTAAACTGTAGTTTAAGCAGTTTAAACCTAAATCCAGCATTGCCTAGGGACTTGTCTGTTGGAAGGCAGGGCAGATTTGCACCTTTTTGCCTGAGTTTGTTATGCATGTTATACACCAGCATACATTTGCTACTTTATTGGTGGAGTACTGATTTACTGGTGAAATTAAAGGAATTTGTGCTTTATTTCTAATAACCAAGTCACCTACAGTGCAAAGCTGTAGCATTCAGATACGGACCTTGACTTTTACAAAGACAGTGAATGCTTGTATCTGAGAAAACATTTCAGCCTAGCAAAGATACAGGCTAAGTGCAAAGTTTACATCCAGATCTGAACAAAATCTTTCCCAGAAGTGCCTGGACACTGGATCCAGGAGAAATCCTTTTAAAATGTAATGGAACCCAAAAAATGAGGCTAATGAAATACTCAGATTGCTTTTTAATCCAGGCAGCAAGTAATCTCAGAGGCCATCCTTTTAATAACAGGTGGAATCATAGGAACATATAATTGATCATAAGAAAACTAGCAAGGAATAGAAAACTGTCATCAGTTGGACTGTTTTCCCCACTTTAGTTATCAAGTGTGTGTGGTCAGTTAAGTCCTGGGTGTGCATAAATGCCTATTTTGACAGTGTGCTTGGTCTCTTTAGAGTTCCAATTCACAAATTATACCTATAAGTCAACTATGCTAAAGTTATGAGAATAAATTACTTGGGAGCTTGTCTACAGAGTCCTTTGTACTAGCCACAAGAAGTGCATTCCCAAACTGAAAGACGTATCCCAATAGAGAGCCCAGGTGCAAAAGTATACATAAATCAGCAATGTCCCAGTTCGTCTGTAACTTTAGATATTTTTGAAAGGCAGTAAGAGGGGTAGACGTTACACTCAGATCGACCAACTAGGTTTAGTTCCATCGAAGTGCTGAACTATAGATATGTTTGGAGAGTTAAATAGGGCAGAAAATGGCGGGCCAGATCTAACTGGGGTGGTGCCGGCACTTCCCCTGGAGATCTTCAGAAGGAGACTGGATGCACACCTTGCTGGGGTTATTTGACCCCAGCAGTCTTTCCTGCCCAGAACAAGGGGGCTGGACTTGATCTCATGAAGTCCCTTCCACCCTAAACATCTGTGAATCTGTAACTTAGTGCACCTGAGGAGGTACACCAAGTAGACTGGGCTAACCTGTGCCTGATGTAATTAAACATAGGTTTGGAGGGCAGCCGAAGAGCTGGGAAAGCCCAGCTGCTCACTACAGCCCCAGGTTTGTGCCTTTCCTACCCTTATCAGACTGTTTTTAGCACACACACCCCACTGACATCACCCTTCCATGGACCCACCAAGCCCCCTGTGGACCTGTCAACCCCCAAACCACCACAAACCTGCCTAGCTTCCCCTGCCACACTTCAATTTACTTAGATTGCATTCCTGGTGCAGCTCCAGGCGCTGGCAAATGTCTGCACAAATAAGACCTGATCTATAATCATACTGCTTAAAGCAAGCCATGGCATCACAGATCAGGTCCCGGGAATATCTTCATGTATGCTTTATTTTTCTCCACTTT